CACTCTGCTATGACTTCCATCTGGTCCCTTCACATATTCACTCTGTGATCACCCCATTCTAAAGTCTGTTCCCTGGGTGTGTTGAAGAGAATCCTTTACAAATACCAAGGGCAGAACACAATATTAAAAGTAAGAGGGTTGGAAATCCAGTAGTATATTTAAAATAAGTTTAAAATCCCTCACTTTGGGACGCCTGGGTGGCTCAGTCAGTTAAGCGTCTGCCTTCAGCTCAAGTCATGATCCCAGGGTCCCGGGGTTGAGCCCCGCATAGGGCTCCCTGCTCAGCGGGGAGTCGCTTCTCCCTCTCCCTTTGCCTGCTGCTCCCCCTGCTCATGCTCTTTCTATGTATTAAATAAGTAAGTAAGTAAGTAAGTAAGTAAGTAAGTAAGTAAAAGTAAGTGGGTCGTGAGATTTGTAGAACAGCAATGATGCCATTATGTGATATTTCTTAGTGCAAATTTGGTCACCTTCAACTACCTCCAAATCACTACTTAGCTGTGCTATTTCTGGAGTAAGACTTGTAAAATAGGGTGGTTTCTATCACAGGTATTAATTATAAATATTAATTTTTTTTCTTAAAATGATGTTAAATATATTAAAGCAAAACCAGAAAGGATGAAAGAAAGGGAAATTTTATGCTCTTAAGAAAAGATGAAGATAGAACATCTCTAAACCTGGCTAGCTAAAATAAATAAAAATGTGGCATTTTTGTGTCTAAACTGGGGTTCAGGCTGGCATATGTAAACCAAATTGACCAGTTCTTATGGCCAAGGATGGTGTGCCTTTAATTTTGTATAAGTTTTCCTGCATGTCATCTAAGATGTATATGTAGCTGGGCTTTCTCTCTAGAGCTGATGGTTGAAGAATTCTACATTGAAATCATATTATCTCAATGTTCTTTGTAAAGTGTATCCATTATTAAAGTAGTAATATAGGCATGAAGCAAATTAGACCGTAAATGTGAATTTCAGACAAGGAAATGCCACCTGGAGCTAGAATGAAAGGAGAAAAAGGTCTCTTAACGTCTTCCTCGGCCATTTTCACTGTGATTGGTGGATTTTCACTGGACTTCCTCTCTGCCTGCTTCGTCCCTCCCAGAACATGAGGGGTCTCTGCAGAAACTTCTTTAAGGATGTGCCATTTCTCTGTGCTGCTGTTTTGAGGTCTGACAGCTCAGTTTGAAAAAGTACCCCTTATGCTGAAGACTTTCAGTGGGTATACTTGGCTTTTTTTCTTTGTCGCTCAAACTCTTCATTGGAAAGCCCATATGAACATAGCTTGTTCCTATGTATTTCTCCACGGGGGGTAATATGAACTGAGATTAGACTCGTGTGGCATTCACGTAGCTCTAAATTTTCTTTCCTCTTTTTGCTTCCACCAATACGGGGTTGTCTCTGCCGTTATTTCTGACTCATTCTTTCCAGCATGTGTTTACTATGCCCGTATACCATTGATACACAGTTCCCTCACTTTATATGCCCATTTCAAGTAACAGGTTGTGGTTTTTCCTGGTTTTTGCCAGACTTGGAAAAAAAGACGTTAAAAGAGACTTTATTTTTTCCGTCATATTCATAAAAAGGAAAAAGAACAATATCCTCACTGATTACAAAAATTATGTGAATTTCCTGTGTACTCTTTTGGTTGGTTTGTTTTTGGCAGATGTTAATGCCATAGGGACAGTAGCTTGTGTAGCAATAAACTACTAGATACAAGTTAACATTTAGCAGTTCTATTTTTCACTGTTAGAATTAGATTAAGCACAATCTAGTAATTAAGTCTGAAATTTGTTATTTCATCTTGTTACAAATAATTTGCAGTGTTCAACTGTTTGAAACATTGCTTGTGATTTAAGCAAGTGGATGAATATTTGTTAGAAGCAAAATTTAGTAGTTCTGAATCCAGGTCAAGAAGCTATTAAATAGGCAGAAATTGAAATAAATTGTTGCTTGATGCCTTTAATAGAATCTCAAGTGAATATTGAATTTCTCAAATGGTCATGCACTTACTTCTGTAGATGAAAAAATGGAAGTAACAAGGGAAGGAGGGAAGAAAGGGAGGAAGTGGAAGGGAGAAAAAGGAGAAAGCAAAGGTGAAGGGGAGGAGGGGAGAGAAAGAAAGAAGGGAGGGAGAGAGAAAAGGGAGAGAGAGGGAAGAAAGAAAGAAAGAAAAAGAAAGAAAGAAAGAAAGAAAGGAAGAGAGAGAGAAAGAAAGAAGAAAAGACATGCTCTTTGAATGATGGCTTTATTTAATGAAAAATAATTCTTCTGTAATATTATCTTGTAATGCTCATGAGATTGCACTTCCTGCGTTTTACTATGATTGTTTCTTAATTGTTCATCTTCACTCAATTCTAAAGTTTGTGTGGATGGGAATCATGTCTTTCTTGATTGTTGTAATCCCTGCACAATGTTTGGCATGGAGGAGTTGCTATAAATCTATGCCTATCTATATGTATCTCTATGTCTATATTTATATCTACATTCAAAGATGACATCAATTCCTGTTCATATAGTCCTAAAATTATTATTTTTTACATTGGCAAAACGATAGAATGCATGGACCATGTAGAGCAGTCTTTCAGTTGTGTACTCCAAGAATCCAGCAATGCCATAAACAGGTTGAACACTGACCTTGGCCACTTCTTTCCTAACTCTCCTGAAATCTCAGCCTTTTGAATCTTTGCCATGCATGAGAACACAATGAAGAAAAGCATGCCAAGGAAAGAAGGAATATAGGTGAGTTTTTGTCTGAGACTCTCTAGGGAGCTCTTAAAAATATGGATTCCCAGGCCCCAGCCCAAAACTTTCAATTGACAGGGGGTGATGCCCAGAAGATCGGTATTTAGAAGCTTCAGCCTGGGTTGAAAAACAACTGTTCGGTGGGACAAATCAACCTACTCTAGTTGGGCAAGCTCCCAAGTGGGGACGGTGGTGGCATGGCTCACTTAACGCTACCACTGTTATATGGTGACGTCCACTAGGAAAGCCCCACCAGCACTGCAGTCCTCTACACGTCCACTCCTTTGCTCCTAGCCCACTCTGGTCCTCCAGAGTGGACTGGGACTGGGAATGGAAGAGAAGGTGGAGGGACTGATGGAGAACAGACCTTGCCTAGGTGGCTGGATTTGGCCGTTAGTACATGTTTTGAAACAACATGCATTGAGCCACCATTAAAGGAATACTTGTTGAGAACCCACTGCATCCCTAGGCCCGTGAATGCAGCAGTGAACAAGACCAACCAAGGCCCTGGTCTCATGGAACTTACATTCTGGGTGCAAGGCAGAGAATAGAAAACAGATGTACCAATGTCATTGATATCAATGAGATGAAAATCAAAGCAGGGTCAAGAGTAGAGAGTGATGGGGACAGAAAAAAGCCTAGACTGGGTGGCCAAGGAGGGCAGCTGTGAGGAGGTGGTGTTTGAGCTGAGACCTCAAAGAAGAGAAGGAGTTAAGGTGGGAACCATATGGGAGCTGAGAGAACAGAAAGGAAAGAGCCTCTGGATTGGGGATGTCCTCAGCATATCCAAAAATAGAAAGTCCTTGGGGTTGGAATGGAGCAGGTCATCTCAGAGGCCATGAGGAGTCTACAGTGTATCTCAAGAGTGATTCAAAGTCCCTGGAGAATTATGAGCAGGAGATGGACTCAATCTAATTTTGTTTTTGAAAAGATTACTCTGCTGCCATGAGGAATATGGGCTCGGGGTGCTAAGAGTAGAAGAAGGGCCACCAGCTGGGAAGCCACTGCAGTCATCCAAGTGCATGACAGTGGTTTATATTAAGATAGATTGTGGAAGAGGGAGAAACAACAAGATTCAGGGTATATTTGAAAGTGGAGTGGTGAAGACCTGCTGATGAAGATGATGTTGGGATAAGAGAAAGAGATGATTCAACTCTGTCACATGGTTGTAAGTACTAAATATCTGTAAAATGAATCCTGAATGCTTAGAACATAGTCAAAGATGTGGGAAGCACTAAAAAAATCTCAGCTATCATTAAACATATAAGTGAGTTTGTTGAATGGATAATTGGGTATTTAAGTTTGCAGCCCAGTGGGGAGGGTGGAGATGCACGTTTGGGAGTTACCAGGATTTGGTGGCATTTAAAACCCCTGGTCTGGATGAAATCTTTAAGGGGATGAGTATGGAATAAGAAGACTGACAGTAGAGCCCTGGGTCACTTCGACATAGACTTGAGAGCAGAGAAGAAGAGGAGACCGGAGGAAAAAGGAGAAGAAAGGAGGGGCACCTGGTGGCTCGGTTGGTTAAGCGTCTGCCTTCGGCTCAGGTCATGGTCCCAGGGTCCTGGGATCGAGGGTCCTGGGCTCGAGCCCCACATCGCGGTCCCTGCTCAGTGGGGAGTCTGCTTCTCCCTCTGCCTGCCACTTCCCCTGCTTGTGTGTGTGCTCTCTGACAAATAAATAAATAAAATCTTTAAAAATATATGAAAAGAAAGGAGAATAAAAAGTCAAGGCTAAGACATTCCTCCAAGAAGGAGCAAGTGCCTCAGAGAAATGGCCAGTTTTCAGGGGAACCTTTTGAAAATTTCAAGCCAAAGGCTTAAAAAGGTGACCCATGACTTCCAGTGGTCAGTCTCAGACTGCATTGTTTTTGAGCACTTGCTCGGATTATTCTAGTCACTCCACCTAAAAACACTTCACTCACTTAACTTTCAGGACTCTCCATGTGCCAGAATTTCCTTTCTCTTCTTCATGTCTTTATTATTTTTCCCACTCAATGAAGCAAGTAACCCCCCTGCCTGCCTTTCAAACCGAAACAAATTTTATTTACCAGAATAGCCCCATTCTAGAAGCATGAGCTTCGCTTTCCACAAGAATACCTATTTACGAATTGCTCAGGCCATTTTAGAAATGCCTCTTACATAAATACGTTGGGCGTGGGAAGAGCCATTCTTTACGTAAATATTTTAAAAGTTACTTGTAAATTTCAAAATTTAACTTAAGAGTTTAAGACGCCAACAGCTCTTGAATTTGTTCTTTGAGGAGAGAGAACGCTGCCGTCTGGAAAGTGGTGTTTGGCATCAACAACCTAGACCACCCGTCACCGTTCCTGCAGACGCGCCTCGTGAGGACCATCATCCCGCACCCGCGCTATAGCCGAGCGGTGGTCGACTACGACATCAGCATCGTGGAGCTGAGCGAAGACATCAACGAAACCAGCTACGTCCGGCCGGTCTGCTTGCCCAGCTCAGAGCAGGCCTTGCAACCCGACACGTACTGCTATATCACAGGCTGGGGGCACATGGGCAACAAAAGTAAGTGAGGAGCCTCGGGAGGGAGCACTTGCCTTCCGTTTGTACCTGAAAACCACTGTGTTACCTCCCAGGCTTGGGCAACAGTTTCCCGGTTTCACTTCCGGAAGTGTAGCCACAAAGGGCAAGGAGTAGGGGTGTGTGTCACGCTCCTCTCCCACACGCAGTACCCCCACCTGCCACCCTGCGGCAGCCTCAAAACTCCTCCTCCACACCTCGGATTCTCCCTTCGGGTGAGCCCCTCACTCCCCATGTTGTGGAGCCGCCCTGCAAGGGAAGGTCTGTCCGTCATCCTGCTTGAGACCTTCTCTACCAGCGATGCGCACCGGCAGGCAGAGCCCCTCGGAGCCTCTCTCGAGCGGCTAGGCTGTTCCAGTCCCGCAGTCAAGCTGCACGCACCGTGTGTTATGATTTAGTCTTGTCAACATCTGTAACACAGCCTGAAAGTCCGGGCATGCTGGTCTAACCCTCCGTCTGGGGCAATGCTCTGGCTTGATTACTTTTCTTTTCCTCGAAGTAGCCGTTGTTCTTGTTGAAGCATGTATTAAGAGGGGAGAAGCACGAGGCGAGTTACCTAATCAAGTTACTGATCCAGTTTCTCATTAATAAAATAAAGGAGTTGGACTAGATGATCGCGGTCAACACTTCTGATTGAAAATTCTGACGCCAGACAAGCCTTGTCTTTGAAATGGCATTTTAAGTAAAGAATATGCTTCCCTGGGTATACAGATGTCATCATTTCATATAAGGCTGGCCTCATTTTTGAGTCATTCTGCCCTCTTAGATATTTGGTTTCTTCTTCTTTTTTTAAAAACCCCAGTGCCTTTTAAGCTGCAAGAGGGAGAGGTCCGCATCATCCCCCTGGAGCAGTGCCGGTCCTACTTCGACACGAAGACCATCACGGCGCGGATGGTGTGCGCCGGCTATGAGTCCGGCACCGTCGACTCGTGCATGGTAAATTCTCTCCGCGTACCGAGGACAGCCAGTGCTGCGTCCGCCGCGCTGGGGCCCTGTATACTCACTATCATTCCCGGGCGGCCCTTTGGGAATAGTTTTCGGAGATTGCTTACTAACCGATGTTAAATTATTCACAATATGTACTTTCTCCGGTACCCGAGTGATCCCCTTCTCCTCTCCATGCCCTTCGCTCCGGTTGCCTTCAGCTTTCGCGTCTCCTGCCTGGGGAGCCAGGAAGGAAAGCCGCTGTCTGGAGTCGTGGTGCCAGACTGCGTGGGTCGAACACGAGCTCTGCCTACGAACGTGGCACACACCTGTGCCTCAGTCTCGCCACCTCCAAAATGGACAGTATTTAGCAACTCATAGGGATCTCATGAGGAGTAAATGAGCTAATCCAAGAGAAAGCGTTTAGAGGAGCATCAATAAACGTAATTACTATTTTTCTCCAACATGATCAGGGGGGCAAGACCATCTATATAATTCCAAGTTTGACGTCCTTACGGGGCAGGAGTATGTGCGAGTTCCCACCATGAATTCACATACTTCTTTATTTCCTAGGGTATCGATCCCTCTCTTTGTGTTCGGTATGTTTGTGTTCAGAGGCCATACAGAATACACCTAATCTCTGATCTTTTCAGATGTAGCCAATACTGATGTTTATAAAGCCATAGTGTCTCACTGCTAATCATATGTGGGGGCAAGAATTGCAACGCTTAAGCTGAAATGTCAAGAATGAAAATCTCCATACAAATGAGATAGAACAGAGGCTGCCGTCACCTTACTGTAAATAATTCTGATGTGCTATTTTCCATTCACGTACACTAACTGAAACAGTCCTAAGAACTGTTAGGAAATGCAGCAAGTTGCCAGTGTCTTTCACTAAAGAATCATTCACAAAGCAAGAATCTTGAAAATAGAGAGTTATTCTGGAGTATTTTTCTGAAGTACTGTTTGAGTGGAGAAAAAAAAAAATCTTTGCATGTTCCATTTTGGGTACTTTCAACATTTATAAAATGGCTCAAAGTTTAAGAATGAGAACAGTTACGAGAGAATTCGTTCCGATACACTAAATTAAAAAATAATTATGACCTATTTTGATAAGCACAGGAAATGGCTGAGACGTCTGATTTCAGGGAAATAGGAACGTAGTCCTTTCCCAAGGTACCCCCGTTCTTTTAAATATCAGGGTCTAAAATGTGCATTTGGAAGTTCCATCGGTGTGGTGGAAAGCGTGCTCCCTCTGGTTGGCAACGAAAGCCTTGTTTAAACTTGCCAAGAAGTTGGCTAAGCTGGGTTTGGCTTCACTGTACCCCCAGGATAACACAGATGCCACCAGTGACTAATGTCCACTCCTGTTCATTACAGGGTGACAGCGGTGGGCCACTTGTTTGCGAGCGGCCTGGAGGACAGTGGACATTATTTGGTTTAACGTCGTGGGGCTCTGTCTGTTTTTCCAAAGTCCTGGGGCCCGGAGTTTATAGCAATGTGTCATACTTCGTCGAATGGATTCAAAGACAAATATACATCCATACCTTTCTCCTAAACTAATTCCAAAGATGATGAGAGACTTTTGCCAGCTACAAAGAAAATGGCCCTGTCAACTGTGGAGTGCTCCCCGCAGAGAGCCGTCCAGAAGCACTTTTCATGGACAGGGATGCTCAGCGGTGCACTGCAAATTTTCATGTTTGTTTTGGTCTCATTTTATTCAGTTTTTTCAATTTTAGTTTTCTCTTACTTCAAGTTTAATGACAGTCTTTAAAAAAAACAACAACAAAAAAAAAACCCAAAAAACAAAGCAGATTTTGTTCTTTTGCCAGGCCTAATCTTGACAATAGCACAAAAGTATCAGCTCTGGAATAAGGCAGGTGCTAGGGTAACAGGTTCTAGAGAATTCTCTTTATCCCAGTCACAGAGAGGCCATTGAGATCCAGGCTCTTTGCCAGCTTTTGTTTCTCAAGCACAATAGCAGAGTGGCAAATTTCAATATTAATACTGGAGACTTGCTTTTGATTTATTAAGAGCCAAGACAGTTTACCTGCTTAAATTATTTACTGTTACTCAAGTCTGCATAATTCTGAAAACCTATGAAAGATAGTCAGAGGTAAAAGACAAGTGGCATCCATTTAGGTAGCTGAAATGGCAAGACATATTGAACACAAAGCTCTTTAGACATCAACAATAGCATTTAACAGTATAAGACTGCACGTTCTGAACTTAAATCAAGGATGTAACCTTATAGAAAAGTCTCCATAGAACCTTCCCTCTAGCTGGGATTTGTTCAGTGTGTATCAGCTGGCTGACTGAGACCTCAACAGCTAGAGTAATATTCGTGGGAAACATTTTGTTGTGCCTATGTGACAATGAATGGAGATTAAACTGTCAAAGGAGACTTGCTTTAGCCTGGAGAGATTCAATTTTTGAAAACAAAAATTAAATTGCACCCGACCTCCACTTCAGTATTTTCCAACTTCCCTGTGTTCGCCCATAATGATAAAATCACAGAAATGCCTCTCAAAGCATAGTTCAAGTTTGCGTGGAGTAAAACATTTTGTAATTTTCCTTGAAACGTGTTTAGTATCTGATGTTGCCATTGCCTCCCCTTGATAATTAAAACAAAAATTTTAAAAATGCTTTTAAGCACTAGGCCACTTTGTGCACATCAATTTCTGAAGTAACTAGCGGTTAAAAGTATTTTTTTCCGCACTAAAAATCTTCAAAATGCAAATTTTCACACTAAAAGTAATTTAGTTAGGCATCCATTTTGCAACATCCAAATGCCTTCGGAACAAGGAAGATTCCCCACTAACCTTCACCAGCACCCCGGACTGCCTCGGCATCCCCCGCCCCTGCAGAGACTTACCTGCAATTTTATACCTGGGTTTTTGTACTTTTTTCTATGTGTGCACATATTTCAGAATCGAAACGTTGCCTTGACACATTCCATGTTATTCATCTCCTGTTCCAGAGTTTGTGTAAACCTACTGAGAATGTGAAATCCAACAATGGAATTATGGTGAGGACTGTTATAGTGGTAGGTACATACTTCATGTAATAACTGTTAGCTTTGCTCAATTTATGTTCAGGCAAGTGTACCTACTGTACTTATTCTAAATAACCCTTAATACAAATAAAATGGTACAACCTTTTTTTTTTTTTTTAATGGACATGGAACATGGAAATAGCAAGTCCCAGAAAACCATGCCTCCCACTTTACAGTTGGCCCCCAGCCGCCGACCAATCCGAATTTACCTGTCATGTGTCTGTCACAGGAACGTGCTCTTTTATTTTAGGTGATGGATGGCTCTCTACAATGAGAGGTTCCTAATAGTTTCAAGTCCCTTAGGAGTCCAAAGAAAACTTTAAACCTGGTAAGAGTGCAAGGAATCTTTCATGTCTAGAGTATATTTTGGGAGCCTGATATAATAATTCTTTCACAAATCTTTTGGGGTAAAATTATACCACAAAATATAAACTATTAATTTTTCCTGGCTACCAGGAGCAATGATACAATGCTTGGTCCCCCGAAATTTGGTAAAATACACTGAATACCAACATGCAATAGATCCCATCAGCTTGGGTTAACTCTGCGTAAAGTTATTTACTTGTAAATGAGACCCTTTAAAGGCTTGATACAGATCCCAAATCTCTTTTGCCCAAGGGCCAGTTATGTTTCAGAATCCAGAATTTTTCAGAATTTAAAAAATACAATTTAGCACCCAGTAATAAAATACATTTTTATAGCAAAATATCTGAATAATTACATTAAAGAAATTGCCTTACATCTGTTCCGGACATTGAATTTGTGCCTAATTTATGAAAAATTTTTCAGTTTCAGAGCTCTCGGGATTTTGGAGTTGTGGATAAGAGTTTGCGGACTCGTAACATGAACACTCAAGACTTTCTTCTGCTTTTATGCACGGATGCTTGACATCTGGGAGACTGACTTTTTTCCTCAGTTCTCTTGGCTTATTCTTCTTACCTTTAGATTCTAACCCTTTATTTATATTCAGGCAATGAATACCAGCTGCTATGAGGATGACAGATGATAGGACATTACTGATTTTTCCATATACGAAAAGGCCATTACAATATTCTGGGAAAAGGTAGGCTCTGGGATTTTCCTTCTAAACTCTGGTACCAATTACTGTTGGGTTTGGTGATACGTACAGGAGTGATGACAGGTTTTTGTACACATGATTTATTAAACAGTTTATTTTTAAAAATCATTAAAGAAAGCAGAAAACAACCTCCAATAGCCATGTGGGATTTTGAAAGTTCGAGAAATCAGTCTCTATAAAAGACTATTTGCAGTAATATCAGACAGTTACAAAAAAAATGTCAGACCAGGACAAAGAGGCAGCAGGAGAAGATGAAGCCCTGAGGATAACAGATTAATAGTCATAAGATCTTGATACACACATAGAACATCAGCATGGAGATTTCAGGAAGGAGATTCTGGGTGGTTAGTGGCTGGCAATTTTCAGATGAATAGATACTGAATTTTAAAAGAACTCAACAAAAATTGATGATCTTGTAACATCTGGGCTTAGTTGGTAAACTAGTCTCTCTGTTCCAACTAAAGCCAACACACATGATTTGCAACAAGCAACTAACTTGCTATCGACATTCCCGTCCTAAAATGTATTTAAAAACAAATTTTTCTAAGAACCTCACGGAATCCTGCTGAGAACCACCTGTATTAGTCTCAATGCATAATATCTCATTTTTAAAGGCTACAACACCAGAGACCTTGCAGATGGTTTTCAAATTGATTGTTTCATCTTGATCAGGCTATTGCAAGTTTTAGAACACAGGAGATTGCCAAGCAGGCTACAGACTGAGCCGACTGGGTCTGTCCTACCTACGGCCTATGTTTCCCAGCTGACATCTGCACAGAGGCAGACCTCATAAAAGGTCTTCTCTTGCCCAAAAGCAGAGAGAGGAACATATTCCTACCGAACCCTGGCACCGGTCTGCCCCTTCCCCCTGAAGGCTCCGCCTCAAGAGAACATTGAAATGAGCAGAGACGGATGCCTTACATCGGCAGTCAGACGACCAAAGGCATCTTCCTGGAGGAAATGAAAAGCTATTAATAATCACTAACCACATTTTCAACAGTACAGTTATTACCCTATTTTAGGTACACTGTCATTTAAAAGGCTCTTTGGAATTTTTTCTTTGGAAATTAACCATTTATAACATTTTTTTTTTCATGTGGCAATCTATTCTGCGTTCTAACTGATCTAAAAACTACTTTTTTTTCATTAAAGAAAATTCAGATTGGAGTCTGCTCGCTGAAAGCATTTTCCTGGAATCTGAGATCTCCCAGTAAAATAAATACATCTCAAATGAATCCCTTAGGAATGTCTGTACGTCTAGGACAATTAAAATGCTTTTACAAAATCCAAAAAGTTTCATAAAAGCATTTGATTCGGGATGAAATATTTCACCTCCTGAAACTCAGTTCAGGTCAAACTGCAACCTCTCCTCCAAATGTATCTACAAACACACAAGAAAGGTCATCACATCAGCTTTTCCGGGCACAGAAGAATCTTCGTGTCCCTTCGGGAAAAATCCACCTCATTCCTGCTTGCTAGAGGGGCCTCTTCAAAGTCCCTCTTCCAGATTTGAAGGGAGACTTGCCGCTCCAAGGAGGATACCCTGCTTCTTTTTCTTTTCTTTTCTTTTTTTTTTTAACCCTCGGAGGGCCTCGCCGTCCCTGAGGCCTTGGTTTCTGAGAAGTCTGAGTCCAAAGCGGTTTCACGGACAGACGAGCTCCCCTGCTCGACAGCACGAGACGGTGCTGACGCCGCTGTCAAGGCGGTAGGCGGGCCGGACGGGCCTCTTCTCTCGGACTCGGCAGCCGGGCGCTCAGCGTACTTCCACGGCGCCCGGCCCGCCGTTCCGGCCCCTCGCCACTTCTTGAGAGCGTCCGTCCTCTCCTCCGCAGTCAGTCTGTCCAGGTGCTGAGCCCTCTGAACTGGAGCCGGGAACAGGGATCCCTGAAGAGCCCGGTATGTAAACCTAGGTTCCGAAAAGCAGCACAGAATTAGAGTCACCGCAAACGCGGCTCGGGACACCAAAAATACTCACCAACTGGAAAAAGTAAAAGGGTCTGGGGGGCCCCTTGGCCTCCCTGGGGTAAAGGGGAAAGAGAAGCACGCTGTAAGATGGAGACAACAGCACTACTAAATAAGTTAGTGTTTGCAAAGCGCTGAGGGAACAGGGAGTGCCTGTCAAATAAATACAGAATAAAACCTTTAAAGTAGAGGTCCCCATAGTGCTACGTCAGAGGCTTAATGTTTGTTAGATGAAATGAGATAATACACGCAAAGCAGACAGCAGCACACGGTGCGTGTTCAAACAACGCTAGCTGTTAGTTTTCGAGGACCAGTGTGACACATCACTGCACACCGTCCCTTCCGGCCCCAGCGGGCAGCACGGACACGGGCACGGCATTCTCATCAACCTCGTGGGTCTCCCACGCGTGTCGTGGTCCTTCATGCCCTTAGACGAGAGTCCTCCACAGAGCCTTCCGATGTCATGCCATCTTCCTTCCCGGTGGCTGCTGAGGGGGCTGAAGGGACCCATGTCACACACCTGATCTCCTCAGCCTTTGGTTGTCCAGCCACACTGCTGGCCTTCTCTCTAGAGCGTGGTCCCAAAAGCCAATCTCTTCATTTTCACAACTTTGGAAATCTGGATAGGCAGAGAATTCCCCAAATCTAATTTCTCTGGGTTTAATAGGCCTTCCCTCAATCTCTTTTCTCTCACATTTTACTCTAAGCAGCAAGAAGAGACCGGGCCAGACCTTCAACACTGAATAGCCAAGGTCATAGTTCACAAATTCCGCTTTCCACATAACGGGAAAACCCACTTTGGCTAAGTTTTCTGCCGCTGTAGTGCCAAGATCCCCCTTCCTCAAATTTCTAGCGACACGTTCCTCCTTTCTTTCGGACCCCTCACCAGCCGTGCCCGTAACATCCACATTTCCAGCAGCATTCTGTTCAAGGCCGTATGTGCATTTTCTCAGATGATATGATTTTCTCCACCTGTGCTGCTTCTCACTTCCCTCTGAATCCCCACCAGCAGGAACGGCAATGTCCACGATCATCTACGTTCTCTTGGAGACGTCTAGTATTTTTCTTTCTTTTTTTTTTTTTTTAAAGATTTTATTTATTTATTTGAGACAGAATGAGAGACAGAGAGCATGAGAGGGAGGAGGGTCAGAGGGAGAAGCAGACTCCCTGCTGAGCAGGGAGCCCGATGCCGGACTCGATCCAGGGACCCCAGGATCATGACCTGAGCCGAAGGCAGTCGCTTAACCAACTGAGCCACCCAGGCGCCCCCGTCTAGTATTTTTCTATCATGTACTTTACATTCTTCCAGTCCCTGCCCACTATCCAGTTTCAAAGCCACCTTCACATTTTTCAGCACTTGTTAGAACACTGGGGGTGGCAAACTTTCTTCCTGGGGGTCCAGATAGTAGTATTTCAGGCTTTGTGAGCCAGATCGTCTCTGTTGGGACTATTCAGCTCTACCGCTGTGGTGCAAACTCAGCCAGAGAGAATACAGGAATGAGTGTGTCTGTATTCCAATAAAACTTCACGTGCATTTAAAAACAGGCAGCGGGCCACATTTGGCCTGTGAGCCACTTCGTCAACTCTGTTAGAGAATAACCTAAAATCACCATTTTGACTCTCATGTCCTGTTTTAAAAAGGTAGAACAACTATGTGGCACAGTGTTTCCAGCTAAACAGATACACTTTATAAAAAATATAAAGAGAGAGAGAGAGCTATAGATTAAAAACGCACACATACTTCTTAGCCATCCCCATCCTGTACAATATTAGAAATTCAAGTTAAACTAAAATGGGAAAGACAACTGAACTCAGATACAGGAGGGACGTTTTCAGTGCTGACGGGCTGTACAGAGACCACTACTTGTCTCTCAGTCCACATTCGCCCGTTTTTCCTTTTAGAAACCCTCAGATTTTCGCCACTCTGACTCGACATACTGAGGACCTAGTTAAAGGGATATGAGCAATGATGTGCAACTTCTGGGTCATGCCATTCCAAAGACAAAGCAAAAAAACACGCGACAGGAAAGCCGCTCGCGCTCCGTTTTCTCTCCTCCTCCCTCCCGCAGACAGGCATGTGGGGGTGCTGGCGGTGAGTCATCTCCAATCATGCAGCTGAGGGCAGCACCCGTGGGAGTTGGTGGAACAAAAAGCCAGAGGAAAGGATCCTCAGATAACCCTGTGGGTGAAGCTGCCCTATCTTTGGGGAATGGCAACCCGATGAGAATTTTCCATGAGAGAGAAAGCTCTCTTCCAGGTTGCTGAAACCATTTTTGCTCTCTGGTCAAAGAGTTAAAACCTATGTTTTCACTAGGACACAGAATGACTTCTCCACTGGTAAAGGGGATGGTCCGCCATCATTCTGAGCAGTTGCCTGAAGCCTTCTAAGCCTCTGATCTCACTTCCTCTCTTGCGGATAAAACCCCATACCTGGGCAGAAGAGCGATGCACGTCGTGAGGACGCAAACCAGGTAGAACACGGGGTCCAGTATGTGCTCCTGCATAATCCAGTAGGGGTTGGACGGCGGATTGCAAGTGACGCACATGGCTCCAAAAACCAAGGCAAAGAAAAAATAAGACAAGATGCTACCCGCAATGACCAGCATGTGGATCCAGGTCTGCAAGACAAGGAAGGCGGGGGAAGTGAACACTTACCCACAGGGTTTGGCATCCCCACGAACTCTGCTCTGTTGAAGAGACAACGTGTCTAAGCAATGAATGAATGGTGTCACAAACCTTAGTGAATACAAAACACAAAATGCCGAAGAGATAAGAGCACACTTCATGGAGAGCTCATACCATGGTTTCAATTTTGTAAAATGGAGTCAAATGCCAAAAGGTTAATTTTGATGACTTTTCTATTTTATATTGTTCAATGCACCATGAAGTGTTTGGATTCTTTTTTTTTTTAATACAGTCACTAATCGGCCTGCTTCTTCATTAAGGTAATACTGCAATCCTCAAACGTTACCCATTCTCATGGCTGGTAGACATAATGTTGCTCACCGATATTCTAATTTCATTCCATTGTAAGCATCTGGAAGGACTGCATTTCCTCGTGCCCTTGAAATTAAGCACGGCCATGCATCCTGCTTTGACCAATGAAATGTGAATGGAAGGGACATTAAAAAATGTTCAGGTTAGAAGCACAGAAGAGCTGGTGTGCAATTTTCCATGCTGCCTCCTTTCTTTCCATGATGACCAAGGAGTTCCTCCTTGGGGATAATTCCAGATGGTAAAGCTACAAGACATTGCCTAGGGCACCGAGCTGCCCCCTCAGAGGACAACTCCTCTAGAGCTATCTGGCACCTTAGCTAACTTTGCACAAGCAAGAAACAAATCTTCGTGTCTCACTCCTTCACCTAGCCACCGTTGTATCTATGTATAGCTCGAAATTTTTCTTGGTATTTTTCTGAAACTGGCTTACTATTTAAGTAACTTCATTTAGAAGGAAAAGCAGATCACTGCCTTAAATGTCATATCACCATTACCTGTCATGAGAGTGCTGAGTCTGATCTTTGTTACAGAGGGAAACTCACATAATCCGAGCCATGAAGGAGCATCACCTTCACATGATGTGGTGTTCAGTGCTCTTTGCGCAGGGGAGAGTAGCACCTAAAATCGTAGTGGATACCCGAGTGGAGTATGTTATTCTTTTGGGGGGTAGTACTGCCTTTATTATTTTCTAAGGCTAGAATTTTCAAACGAGATCCAATTTTCTCCCTCTTCCTCTTCCCCTTGCAAAGTATTTCCCCTCGGTAGGTCTCTTCACAAGCGTCACAAAGACTGCTCGTTTTTTTTTGGTAAAATGTACAAACTGCTCAGAAAATGTGGGCTAACTCCTGATGATCATCACGCCTCTAAAACAAGGATTTTTAATTTTTTCTTTCTTTCTCAAATGTCTTTTCTTCTCATTGAATCCTACTGCTTGACTTTTTTTTTCCCCTTAAGATGTGCTTTTGGCAAGTGAGACAGGAACTTGATGGAGCTGACGCATTTCCATAAAGTGATACAGTTACAGTCAAGAGGCAAAGGGGGAAAGCAGACAGGGAGGTGGGAGGTGCTGATGACATGAGGAGCCGGAGCGTGAAGGGAAGCTGCCTCACATCCTCAGAATGGCTGACTCCTACTGACAAGGGACCTTCGGAGGCTGTGAGCTCCAGCCTCCCCGGGCATGAGAAAAGCGGTTTAATGATGAGTCCTTTATATAACAGACACTGTTTTCCTGGGCACCTGGCTTTCGCGCTCCCGCTTCCTAGTACGGTCAGTACAGATACCCGGCGCAGTGTCCCTCCCCTAGCCAAAGCCTAGCACTGAAGCTAAGGAGACAGAATTCTGTCCCCTGGGATGAAACCTGGGGCACAATGAGGCAGGAGCAGAAAGAAAAGGGCTGCAACCAAGTCAGAGCACAGCAGGGCAAGCCTGCCCATTAGTGTGTTCCCCGGATGTCCGGAGCCACTCTGGTTCCTCAGGACCGTTTGGTTTGGTTTGACGGTGGTTCTTCAACACATTTTTAATAACTTTTCTATTTGCTCAGGTTGCTGTTGCTCATAACCAGTGAACCCAAGACCCTCTGGAATGCTACTAAATGTCAGAACTGATGACAATTCCTTAGGGAGTAACCAAAAGTGCCTACAAAATTGTTTAAAAATGAAATCAAATAGCTATTAAAACAATGCCAAATATTTTAGTTCTAGAGTTCCCTTTACTCTCCTGGTATTTTCAGATTTTAACCTTTTACTACACCTATTTAGGTTTGTACAATTTGATTATAGCAGGTTATAAGCAAGGCAAGTGATGCCAACAATATTCTTTAGAAATGATTATGCTTTAGAAATTATTATAAATAATTTTATAA